ATGTGCTGTTGAATAATTGAAATATTCACTTAAAATCTCAGAGGGAACTTCAAGTATTGGATGGTAATGGATGTCAAAGGGGTTCGGCTGACAAAAATTTTGGAAATCCTCGGGAACTGAATTGAATTTTGGGAAATTCAAGCATCATATCCATATCCATATCAATGATAACCTCATGCATGCATCATATGCATCAATAAATATGCACTGACTGCATTTTGTAAGTGCAATTTAATGCATTATTACATATGTGCAATTTTTTTATGGCCCGGTTATTGCTTGATATAAGCTGTGTTGTACATATCTGTAACTCACCCTGAGCACTGTGAGGTTTTATCCTACCCGTCTTCTCCTCGTCTGGCAGCTGACTAAAGCTGAAATTCGTGATCACAGACTTCTCTCTACCCTGCCGATTCCTGCTCCACTCCTCGGAGTACATATCTGGAAAAATGACAGAATTCACACATGGGAAATTTCATGCTGTCAAGAGACAGATGAATTCATTGGGATTCCCTTACGAAAAAGAAGTTTATTCAAGTGTGCTATTAGTATACTTCTTTTAAACTAAAAATAGGAAAGTATACTTTTATTGAGTACACAACTAGTTTACTACTGTTATACTTAAAAGTATACTTTTATATACTAGAAAGTGGGCCAATTTAGTCCCAAGGAGTATTGAAATAGTACACTTACAAGTATACTACTAGTACACTGATATTTGTATACTTACTACATAAAGTATACTTAAAAAATATACTTGAACTTTACTTAAGTATACTTACTAAAATAAACTTGAAGTATACTACTTTTTGGTAAGGGTTGTCATGTATGCTTATAAAATAACAAATAATAACAAACATAAATAATCACATAATAAATTTGTGTGTATGTGTGCATATAGATGCTAGTATAGAGAGGACTTACAAACGTTTTTTCTCTATCATATCTAAATAATTCATTCATGCTGCACATTATAATGTAGTGATATCTAAATTCACTTGAATATTGACATTAAAAATACACCTAACCAGAGAAATATTAACTGGAGTAAAAAGTGTGACAACTTGCCCCAGAATCTCCACAATGCTTATAGACCTAGGCTATGCTGTGCAGGAAAATTCAGTTCTTTTGTTTTATGCAACCAAGTATTGCAGTGGTTCTATATTTGTTCCTACACCTGTTTTCCTTTGAAGCATCTGGGCATGGATGTGTTGTTTCTCTCCTACCAGTTGACTTTGAACGCGCGCGGTTTAATTTTACGGCATGTTATGAAACCCACTGAGTCAGTTAGTCTAGGTCAGTGTTTCCCAACCGGGTGCCATCTGTCGAGAGCAGGGGTGCCGTGTAAAAAATCATTTTTAATATTTTTAAATTGCTAAAATGTTCAAAAAGCAGCTATATATAATATTCATATCTGATGTCGCCAATAATTAGAGATGCACTGAAATTCCGGCTGCCGAAAATTAGTTCACCGCTCAGGATTCACTGTCACGTGGTGTGACGCTCTGCGTATTATCCAAAAGGGTCTGGGCTGCAGCTGGCGCTTGCACTCTCAGACGTGCACTCTCAGGCTTGCACTCTCAGACACTTGCACTTCCGCTAGCGACGTCACTTGCAGTCTTTATTATTTTTTATTTTGCCATGTTAAGTGTTTATGTTTTTCTACGGGAGGAAAATGCTTAACAAGAGACTTTGCGTATTGCGTTCATATTCTGCTGTTCTGTGGCCACGGATTTGCGGATCTTGTCTTTTTCTTGCTCCAGGACCCTGTAGGTTACGGTACTAAATTATATAATATATATAAAAATAATTTTATCTAAAAAATATCTGTATGACAGTATATTCTGCAGTTATTCCCTGCTGTACCGAATATCTATACTTTTCAAAGTATCATATCGAAGTTAGAAATTCAAATATTGTGACAAAATTAATTTTGTAGGGTGCCGCAAATTTGTTACTATTTCCAAAGGGTGCCGCGACTAAAGAAATGTTGGGAAACACTGGTCTAGGTGATAAACGCGAGATTAACATTATTGACACGTCGAGGTCACCTGACAGATCCACCAGCTATTTTTTTAGAAATATGGAGCCTCAACGTCAAGCCTGTAGTGTAATTTTTACGGCGGGAAAGTAAAATTGAGATACTATATCACATTTCTTTTGGAAAGACGGATCATTTGTCTTGTGGTTATTTGGCATGTCTCTATACATATTCGCAATTAAATGCAATCGACACGTACAGTATGATAATAACTGAACATGAATCAGAGCTGTCGCGCGCTCTCCTGAGTGGATAACAGGTCTCTTACCTGATGTGGCAATGTCATTCACTTCCTCCCACGCGAATAATCTTTAATTACGATCCAGGGTCTCGTTTTCAAGCGATGTTATTTGAGGATGCTCGTTTTCTGCTCCTTCATTCCCTCTCGAGGCTCCCAGCCCTCCTGCGCAAGTCACGGAATCATCACGCGCTTAACAATTGATCACCGGGGCTAGTTATATATATTTGTACTTGGAAGTACATTTTAATCATTATGTTTAAAAAAAATGTTTTGTTGTGCTTTAAAGGACTACACTTAATTTGATGTTGAATAACATAAAGCACATTTTAATTGGTTATAATTTTAACTGTAGGGTTATTTTATATTTCATTTTAAGTTAATATATTTTAAATAAATTATTAAATTTTAGCTTCATCATTACAAATATGTTTAAATACATAACATACAAATTTCAGTAGAAATTATGTTTAACATATATTTTAGGCCTTTAATTTATAGTTTATATTAATTTATATCTCAGAAATTATAAATACTTAAGTGGGTCAGAAAAGCATTCTTACATTTAAATAATTGCATTTAATATAAATTTAAACTGCAGTATATTTAATTCAACTGCAAATGTATTAAGCATCCAAAATTAGATTAAATTCTTGTAATTATTTTTCTTATTCTTGTATATTATTTGTGTGAGGAGTATATGTTTTAAAAGTTTAAAAGAACATCAGACAGCAATTCTTTTTAAATACTTTGCATGTGAAGAGAAAGATCGAGTAATTTTGTGAATGAATTTTAAATTTGAGGAATTAAATTTAGGGAATTTATGAGATTATAAAGAATGAATATACAGAACAAAGATCTAAATGTGCCTTGATCGTGATGAGTTTTATTTTTATTGCAAGTAATCCATCTTTTCACTAATATCTCACTCAAGATAATAAAAAGGGTCTACTATTGATACAGGAACATTGTGGGAATACAAATTTGTTTACCGGAATAATCTTGGTCACTATATGAACTGTTTTGTGCCATTATCAAAGAATTTTGCAGCAGCATAGTGAACTTATTTGTTTAATCTTCAAAGTTTTATTTTAATAATTTTATTAAACTGTGCAAGCCAGCCTCACAATAACACGATAACGCTTATAGAAACAGTTTCATTTTGGAAGAGTGGGATTTTTCTTGCAAAGCATGTACAGTGCTCTCCACTAATATTGGCACCCTTGGTAAATATGAGCAAAGGTAGCTGTGAAAATAAATCTGCATTGTTTATCCTTTTGATCTTTCATTCAAAAAATTTACAAAATTCTAACCTTTCATTGAAGTAAAACAATGGAAAGTGGGGGAAACTCACTTTATGAAATAAATGTTTTTCTTTAGTTCACGTTAGCCATAGTTATTGGCACCCAATTATTGCAACGTCCTTTTCCCAAGATAACAGTTCTGAGTTTTCTCCTATAATGCCTGATGAGTTTGGAGAACACCTGACAAGAGATCAGAGACCATTCCTTCATCCAGCATCTCTCCAGATCCTTCAGATTCACAGCTCCATGTTGGTGCTTCTTCTCTTCGGTTCACTCCACTCATTTTCTCTAGGGTTCAGAGCAGGGAACAGAGATGAGCATGGCAGAAGCTTGGTTTTGTTTTTGTGTTGTTTTTGATGTTTGTTTTGGATCATTGTCCTAATGGAAGATCCAACCATGGCCCATTAGAAGATTTCTAACAGAGGCAGTCAGGTTTAGATTTTTTATCTGTTGCTATTTGATAGAATCCATGATGTCATGCATCTGAACAAGATGTCCAAGACCTCTGGCAGAAAAACAGGCCCACAACATTAAAGATCCAGCAGTAGATTTAACCGTAGGCATGGGGTACTTTTTATCCCTGTTTGTACTAAACCCATCTGGTGGGTTTGCTGCCAAAAAGCTCTTTTTTTTTTGTTTCATCTGACCAAATTACTGCCCTGATGGTGGAAATGGGGATTTTCAATGCTTTAGCATTTCTTAGAGCCACTTTCTATTTTGTGAAGCTCAACAATCTTGTTCTGCACATCAGAACTATATTAATTGGTTTTACTCCTTGTGATGGATGATTAACGGAATTTGACCTTTGTGTTCCTCATATTTATAATCCTGTGGCACAGGAAGTCATGGCTTGACAATTTCATGTTCTTAATCACCCCGGTGTGCTAAAAAAATGTAAATATGAATAGGAATATACTTCAGAGATATTTTACTGTAGGGGTGCCAATAATGGTAGCCAACATGCATTGGAGAAAAACATTTATTTCATAATGTGAACCCCCCCCATTTATTTTCACAGCCGCCTTTGCTCATATTTACCAAGGGTGACAATATTAGTGGGCGGTACTGTATGTATTAACGTGTGTATCTAAAATCGCTTGTCATTGTCAAGTGAAGTTTGTTATTCCAATACATAATTTCAATATTAGTCACTAGATGGCAGTTCTATGATAGCGGTGACAGTTAGTGCTGCAGTTTCAAGACGAACACACTATAAGACCTACTAATCGATCCCGCTCATCTTCATTTTATTCTTTTTTTATTTCGTTAGATAAAATTGAGAATTGTTTAATTAAATTGTACGATTATATCAAAATGAGTCTTATTATTAAAACTAATATATTATTATATGGAACAGAGTAAATAAATAGCTCGATCATAACATGATCTATTAGTAATGTCTTCCGTTATAGCATCATGGCGACTTCCAGTAGAAACAGCATGTGAGGAATTCTAGCAACTGTTTCTACCGCAGTTTATGTTTTGAAAGGGTGATATGAATGGACTAATTAGTTTTTAACTCAAGATTGATTGCAAAAATGTTGCGTTCTGCACTTCTGAGAGGTATTTTCATACGGAACTTCAGTGTTAATGCTATAAAGTGTGCTGCCGCATCCTCAAATGCGCGCAGATCAGCTGTCTGTCCTTCAGAGCTGCATCAAGGACCCTTGAGATACTTTAGTGAATCAGCTACTTTAACACCTTCAAGGTGGACTGATAGCAACAATACCAAGACAAACGCATCTGAGCATGTGCACGAGGAAGATACACGTGATGTGTTTGGTGATTATTCCAGAAAGTTTTCCTCCAGACGAACCTTCCGCAAAACATCCCCAGAGCAGCTGGATCTGAAATACAGAGATGCGGATGAAGATGATGCACAGCTGGTGGAAAAGTTCAAGTCCAAAAAGGGTCGGAAAAATACGACATACTGGTATTTCCTCCAGTGCAAACGGCTCATCAAAGAGGACAAAGTACGTTGTCAAAAATATCTGATTTAATAACATTTATATGTATTTACTGTTGCAGTACAGACGCAGTGATGGTATCAGACTTATATCTCTTGTGAAAAAAAGTGCACTTATTGTATTCAGTGTACTTCAGTCTAAGTATATTAAAACTGTATTTGCGGATAAAATAATATTAATTAAAAGGCCACTTAAATGCACTTCAAACGAGACAACACTTTTATTTAAGTACACTTAACAAGTTTGCTTCACTTTGCAGTAATGTCAAATTACAAGTTTTAATTTGAAGTATATTTAAAATAATTGTTTTAATAATCTTTCGTTGAGATTTAAAGTACTTATTTTGATGTGCTGACTAACATACTAATGTTATAATTTAACTGTAGTGTGTTGTTCAATGTTACATTTAAAGTTAATATATTTTACTAAACCACTACTTTGTCATTACAATTTACAAATGTATAATTACAAATATAATAAAATACATGTACAAATTTCAATACAAATACATTTAAAATACATTTTAGTTTACTATAAGTGCCTCTCATTACATTTGGCAGTACACTTTAACCATATTTCAAAGATAAGTAATTATGTAATTACATATAAACATATGTAATTACATATGCACTTAAGTCCTACTTAAGTGGGATGGAAAAAAAAACTCACTTATGTTAATCTAATTGCATTTAAAATAAATTTAAACTAGAATAAACTTTCACTTAATTTCAGTGAACATGCTATTGTCAGAAAAATCATATATTTAGTTTACACTTAAGTATATACTGTACACACTTAAGTATGCACAAAAGTATATTTTAGTAATAAGTACTCTATTGTGCAATTACCATTTTTTTGTATACAAGTGCCATATAAATGCAAGTGTATATCGAAATATGTATCTCTGTTCCATATAAACCAATACACATTTTAATTAATTAATTTATTTATTTATTGTGTGCGTGTAGCTGGCCGAGGCATTGGTTCTCTTTGAGGCTGATATGCTTAAAGCTGAGAGGTTACAACCTGAGGAGTACAATTACACTGTGCTCATCGGCGGATGTGGACGTGTCGGCTACCTAAAGAAAGCCTTTCAACTCTACAATAATGTAAGATGACAATGCATTTTCACGTCATTATTTATATTAGGTGCTGCTAATGACGCATGAATGACACACTTGATCTTTGATTAACCCTGTTTGAATATTATCACTCAGATGAAGAAGCGAGGAATCGAGCCATCCGATGCTACATACACTGCGCTATTCAACGCTTGTGCGGAGTCACCATGGAAACAGTCAGGTCTGGAACAGGCATTGAAGCTCAAGCAAGAGCTTCTCAAGAAGAACATCCCTCTAAGAGCCATTACCCAGCATGCTTTGCTCAAAACAGTTGCTCTTGCTGGAGATCTGAAGTCGTGCTTTCAAATTCTGCGGGTATTAACTAATGTCAAAATACCCAGTGATGTGATGATTTATTTATTTATTTTTTGCACTAACGACACAGTAACATCATTTGGTTTGTGTGTAAATGCATGTATAGGAAATGCTTCAAAATGGACAACCCATCACACAAGAGACATGTCATTATCTGCTGATGAGCTGTGTGAAGGACAAGCAGCATGGATTCAGACTGGCTTTACAGGTACTTAAACACCTACTGACTAGAAACACATATTAATAGTGATGCACCAACCTGAGTTCATTTAGCTGAAACTGAAACCTACAATAAAGTTTCAGTAAATACATTTTTGGTAATTTAACTCTTTATGTTGTTTTTCTAAGGTGCTAAATAAACCAGTTGTAGTGAAGTTCTTTGAGAGTCAATCAATATTTCAGCTGAACAAATTTTACATACTGCTACTCTTACATCATTTTTGGTGACATGCTAAGTAATGTGGATATAAATTTCAGCAATTAAAAATATTTGTCTGGATAAAAACAAATTCCATTTCAACCACAATTGGTATTTAATTAGCTCTTCTCTGGTGTTAGTGTGTATTTCGTGAAATTTTATTATCGAAATAGACTATTTCATTTTCAGCCAAAATATTTTCATTTGCCAACATTTCTATCCATATTACTCACACGTACCATCTTACTGACTTACAGTTTTTAAGTTCTTTGTTATCCCAAAAATGAAAGAATCTGCATGCATGTTTGAGTTTCCGTGTTTAACAAATGTAACTCTGTTCTCAAGAAGACTTCTCGAGACTTGGTTTAAATCACTTAATTCATATAAATTCATGTAATGATGCCTTTATGACTTTTTTGGATCTTTTAAATTTGGGTTACCTGGACTTTCAATGGAGGGACAGGAACCTCTCAGCTTTCATCAAGAAAATATCTTAATTTTGTTTAGAAGATTAACATTATGGTTCTTATATGTTTGGAATGACATGAGGGTGAGGGAAAGATGACAAATTTTCATTTTTGGGTGAACAATCCCGTGAAGTACTTCTTTTATTGTCATTTGTTCTGTAGGTGTGGCACCAGATGCTTAAGATTGGAATAAAACCAGACACTCAGAATTACAACATACTCCTGCGGGTAGCACGGGATTGTGGGATAGGTGATCCTGGTTTGGCTTCTGCGCTACTACTGAAGAGAACAGAGGAAGTGACCCCAAAACTCACAAGTGGAAGGAAAAGCCGTAGGACAAAAGTCAAAGAGGAGATGTCGTGTCAGCCCTTAGATATGGATGCATTTGAGAGTGAGCTGTTTGTAGACATGCACACACAGAGCCATGGACAAGCCAAAGAGACTGATTTCTGCCATCCAAAGGAAAAAGATCAGTGCAAAACAGATGCATCTCAAAATGAGACTCAAATGCTGCCTGTATCATCAAGTGGCTCTCTGACATGTCAATCACAAAGTTCCTGCCTCCCAAACCTTCTGGACCCCAGCACTTGCCACTCAGATGTGGTTGCCTTGGGACCTGTGAACAGTGCTTCGGATAGACTTGCTCTGATTGGAAACCTTGAAGGTTTTTTGGAGAAAATGGCCAAAGATGGACTGGAGCCCAACATCAAAACCATCACATTATTGGCTGATGTCATGGAACCCGGCAGCCAATCAGTGCAGAGTTTGATTAATGTGGCCAAAAAGAGTGCTGTCACGCTGGATGAGACATTCTTTAACATTATGATCAGAAGGGTGGCCAAAGCTGGAGACTTGAACGGGGCTAAGGTTAGAAATGCATTTAATCATCTGTTCATAAAGTTCCAGTTTGATTCCCAGGGAATCTCTCTGGAGTTTCATCAGGCCTAATTCAATGAGCATAACTACACCACACACTACAATTTCATTATCATACTGATAAAGAAAAATCAGCATTTTAAGTATTGGTAATCATTAACAATAACAACAAAGAATGGGCAAATGAGCAGAGGCGCCATCATGAAGAAAAAGTGATTGTCTCAGTTAACATAGGACATGGGATCAGCGGATGTTAAACAGATTCTTAAATTTGTACTCCAATAGCTTGAATGAAATATCAGTTAAGTGGTGAAACATCTGCCAAATGCATAAATGTAAATAATAAATAAATACAATTACAAAAGTGCCTGCCAAATGCATAAATGTAAATATGTAAAAAAAAAAAAAAACTGATTTCTTTCTTTGTAGGCTGTAAAAGCCCTTATGGTTAACAAAGGGCTGGTTGCAAATGCACAGACGTTCTGTAGTATTGCTCTGGCTTGCCGTAGACAAAAAGATGCAATGCAGTTGCTTACTGAAATGGAGGTATGAAATCCAATATCATCCTTTTATTATTCATTTTCACTATTAATATACTTAAGGTTTCCTCTTATTACAATTATCAACTATTTCCAACTTCCTTCTAAATATTTGAAGGTGCTTTTTTTTTTATTTTCTTTTTTTTTTTTTTTACATCAATTCATTCTTTTTTTTCAGTCTTGTGGGCTTGTGCCAAACACTCACGTTTACAGTGCCCTGATCAGCCAGGCTGCTAAGCGTTTGGACTATGCTTATCTGCATGAACTTCTTCAACACATGCACGAACTGCAAGTGCCGCCCAATGATGTCATCATCAGACAGCTGGAGTTTGCAGCTCAGTATCCTCCGTCCTATGACAAGGTTAGAAACTGAAAATATGAGACAATCTCATATCAAGCAAGATGTAAGATTTAAGATTTGTATTTGTCACATACACAGTTATATACAGAATACAAAGTGAAATATAAACCTGATCAGCTACTTCGGCTGTGCAGTAAGTATAAATAGTAGATAAAAATAGTAAGGTAAAAAGAAATAACATAAGAAAAGTGAAATATAATGAATGAAGAAAATATAAGAAATTTTTATTAAATTATAAGGAGTATAATTATTAAATTATTTTATAATTATTATTTATTCACTTAATTTAAAAGCACATCTAGGTTCAGTAAAATCAAATGCATGTACTTTGTGAATGTTTTTCATGTTATTGCGCTATGAGCAGGATTGTAATGGACTACCATGGATTAATTATGCCTTTTATCTTTCTTTCTTCAGTTAAAATCACAAAACACATACCTGGACAAGATTGACGGCTTCCGTGGTTTTTACAAACAATGGCTGGAGTTCATGCCTGGCCAGGAAACACCACACCCCTGGGAAAAATATCGATCCCCAAAACCAGAAACGGAACAAGATGGAGTCACCTCACAAAATAAAATTTCTGAATAAATCAAATTCCTGTATGTTGTACTAGTAAATTTGTGTGAGTTTCTTAAGCTTAACTGTGAATTTCTGAGGCATATTTTGTATATGTCTTGCAACA